CATTATGTGGATTCTTTGGTTATCAGTGTAAGTCTGATTTATTAGGGGAAAAAATTTCTCAGATTATCATATTGTTTTAAACCGTTTTCAGATAATAGTTTTTGGTGAATGTTTTAATGCCATAAGTGAAAAAAGAACAGGTAAAAAATGACATGAAATTTATCACAATTTTTACCATATGAAATAATTTCATTCTGTGAGCTCTCAGTAACTGCACCTGTTTTTCCAGGGAGGTGATATTATTGCAATTGCTGTAGAGATAGTAATAGCAATGATTATTATTGTTATTTGAAAACTACAACTAGCTAAGAAATAAGTTCAATGAATTTACGACTGTATTTACTTTGAAAACAGAAAGTAATTTCTTCTGTAATTTGCTTAAATTGTCAGTGTCTCCAGCAGCCTAAATTAGATTGGCAGAATGTTTTTATTGCTACTAAAATTATTCACAACTGGTGATTTGAAAATAAGTGTTCCTCTTTGATAACATCAGATCGAAACTCAAAATTCTGTAATTTCGATCAGGAAGTGAAATTCTACACATTAAATCAACCATTCATGATGCCAAAAGATTTATTCAAGACTATGTTTATTGTTTTCGTTGTCTGTTTTGAATTGTACCATTTTTCTATTAATAGAAACGTGCATTCAAACTTCTAAGGAAATTAGGTTGATATTTTAGATTTAGTCATAGACTTTAGAAATGATAGTGGATAAATGAAAGTGTATTTAGCCATAGATCTTTTTAAAGTCTTGGAAAATATTTATGGAGACCTTTATTAGGGAGGAAACTATAAAAATTATACCTTATAATTGAACACACTGCTACATCATAATTAAGAATGTGGTTTATATGTATTGGGAATTCTTGTTCTTAGACTTTCATACTGTTGAGGCATCAGCGACCAAGATGAAGAGCCTTAACGCATTGATTGAGTCTTTTCAAAGCAAAGCAGACAAATTTCTTCATGTCCAAAATGTTCTTGACCAAAATAAAGGTAATATGAAAGCTAGAACAAACTCTTTGTACAGAATGCTAGATTGTTCTTCTTGTTGCGGTCCTGAAATGGTTGGTTGCATAACGTAACAGGAGCCCTCTGACACAACAGCATGGCTGTTTTGACGACTTCTTGCCTCTTAGTTCCTCACATAATCTTCTGAAACTGAGTGAGTCACATATTTATGAGACAAGGCTTCCTATATTAATTAATTAGCTCATTCACTCATTTATTCATCCACATTTGTTCAATGCACACTAAATGCCAGCCACTAGGCTAGTGATCAGTATGAACCCTACCATTGGGAGGCTCAGGAGAAAGGATATAAACCAAATATAAATCAAAATGTCCAGGTGTGCATAGAGGTGTGCAAGATGTTCGTGGAGCATAGAAATGGAAGAATTTAAATACCTGAAAAGTCATGGTGTTTTCATAGTTTCAAACTCCTAAGAATAAGAGTTGAAAATACTAGAGTCGTCATAAAGCGTCTTTTATGTTAAGTAATTGTAACATAAAATAGTCTATATTTACAATAAATAAGTATTTTAAAAGGCCATGCATTAGAATGTTAGTTTGTTTCCTGTGAGGTACCAAATCTATCTTGAATACTTAAATCAACCATGTGGGAGCCCTTAGTGACAGGCTGTGATAAAAGACTGGTTTCTTTCTATCTTTTTCTTTTTTTTATTGAGATATGCTTAACATCTAACCCTGTGTCTGTTTGAGATGTATGAAATGTTGGCTTAATGCATTTGTATATTGCAGTATGATTACTACAGTACCATATCATGTTGCATAATTACCATTTCAATTCTGTATTGAGAACAATGAAGATTCAGTGCCTTAGGAGCTTTGAATTTCTAATACAGTATTGTTGATTACGATCGCTAAATTGTGCATTTTAAAAGGCTGGTTTCTAAGTGATTGATTATTTCAGCTAACGGTAAACGTAATTCAGAAGAGAGGGGAATTGACCAAAATTATTTATGTATTTTGCCGCGTGGTAATTTCATTATTGTGACTTGGTAATTTTCATTATTATAATTTCCCTATTGTGACTATATCTGATGTAATGTGTCTTCTCGTCTATTATTAAGCCTTATTGTCCTATGCAGAAACCCTAGAGTGGCTGCAAAGCCAGGAGTATCTCCTTGAGGCTTTACATGAACTACATCAGAAACAAGGTAATTTGGAAGTGAAAAAATTCTGAGTTGATGATAATTCTTAATAACAGTCTTATTTATCTGAAAAGGGAAAGGTATGAAGCAATAAGGCCTTGTTTGTGGGTTCTGAGGGTCTGTGGGCTCTGAGTTGTAAATATTTTCTTTCCTGGGCACATACACCCCAATGTTTATAGAAGTGCTATTAACAAGGCCAAATTATGGAAAGAGCCCAAATGTCCATTGACTGGTGAATGAGTAAAGAAGATATGAGGTATGCGTATGTATGTGTGTATGTGTATATACATACATGTGTGTGTGCGTGTATAAATACACGTGTATATATATACACAAGCACACACACACGTATGTATATATGTGTGTGTGTATGTATGTATGTATATATATATATGTATATATATATATATATATACTTCACAATGAAGACGAATGAAATATTGTCATTTGCAAAAATGTGGGTGGAACTAGAGGGTATGATGGTAGGCAAAATAAATCAGGCAAAGAGAGACAGGTATCGTATGATTTCACTCATGTGTGGAATTTGAGAAACTGAACAGATGAACATAGGGGAAGGGAAGGATAAATAAGAGAAAACCAGAGAGGGAGGCAAACCATAAGAGACTCTTAAACACAGAGAACAAACTGAGGGCTGCTGGAGGGGAGGTGATGAGCGGGGGATGGGCTAAACGGTGATGGGCATTAAGGAGAGAACTCTTTGGGATGAATGCTGGGTGTCCTAGGTAAGAGACGGATCACTGGGTTCTCCTCCTGAGGTCAAGACTACTCTGTATGTTAACCGACTTGAATTTTTAATAAAAAATATTTTCTTTCCTAGGAGTCAGGTGTGGACGTCCTCGGAAACACTGGGTTCAATCCAATGACCACTGCTACCACCAAACCATGGAAATGGTTTCTTGGTTAGACTGTTTCGATATTTGTGTCTCTTTGAATGCTACATTTTTAAAGACAGAAGGGAGTAGGTTAAAGGTGAGATTGTATTTTCTTCTTTACTTCTGGGATATGAATATATAGTAGATACCAGTCACAGGAAGTGTTCACCTGTGGCTCTAAAAACAGAGAAAGGAGTACTCTCTTACTTCATTTTTCACTCATCTTTTCCTGGCCTGCTCCACTTCAGCAAGCCGTTCTTTTCGGTTTCCTGTAGAAACGTTGCATTTGCTGCTCCCTCTGCATGCAATGTTCTTTTCTCATGTGACCATGGACTATTTCACCTCCTTCAAGTACGCATTCATTCAGTTACCACCTTCTCAATGACCTGCCCGGACACCCCCATTTAAATTTGCAACTTGTACATCAGTGTCCACCCCCAGTCTCCCACAGATGCCCTTCTCTGTACTCCTAGTCTAACCTGCTTTAATTTTTTCCTTTTCCTTTTCCTTTCCTTTCCTTTCCTTTCCTTTCCTTTCCTTCCCTTCCCTTCCCTTCCCTTCCCTTCCTTCCCCTCCCCTCCCCTCTCCTCCTCTCCTCTCCTTCCCTTTCCTTTCTTCTTTCCTTGCCTTGCCTTGCCTTTCCACTTCTTATTTTAATTGCAGTATAGTTCACATACGGTGTTACAGTAGTTTCAGGTGCACAGCATAGTGATTCAACAATTTTATGTATTACCCAATGCTCATTATGATAAATGTACTCTTTTTTTTTTTTTCAAATTAACCTTATTCTATTGAATCCAGGGGCTAAAATAAGGAAATCATTCTGTATCTTTTGATAAGCGTACCTCTTGAATCCCCATCACCCATTTCATCTCTCACCCCATCCCCCACCTCTCCTCTAGTAACCGGCAGTTTGCTCCTTATAGTGAAGAGTCCATTTTTTGGTGTGTCTGGTTTTATTCTTTGTTCATTTGTTTTGTTTCGTACATTCCATATATGTTGGAAATTATATGGTGGCTGTCTTTCTCTTGCGGACTTATTTTACTTAGCATTACACCCTCTAGATCCATCCATGCTGCAAATGTCAAGATTTTATTCTTTTATGGCTGAGTAACATCACGTTATTCATACCTACCACATCTTCTGTATGTATTCATCTATTAATGGATAATTGGACTGCTTCCATAGCTTGGCTATTGTAAATACTGCTGCAATAAAAATAGGGGTGCACATACCTTTTCAAATTAGTGTTTTTGTATTCTTTGGGTAAATAACCAGCAGCGCAACTACTGGATCATAGGGTAGTTCTATTTTTAATGTTTTGAGGAACCTCCACACTGTCCTCTACTGTGGCGGCCCCATTGCATTCCCCACTAACAGTGAAGGAAAGTTCCTTTTTCTCCACATCCTCCCCAACCCTGTTTCTTGTGGTTTTGATTTTAACCATTCTGACAGATCTGAGATGATATCTCACTGTGGTCCCCTGCTCTAGTTTCTTTTATAGCTGGTGTCACCTTATGTATCACTTGTATGTATGTTTATCTCTGTCTGTACCCAATCGCCCAAAGCAGGAAGCGTTCTCATTTTTGTTCAATGATATGTCTCCTGTGGAAGAGTAGACACAGAGTTGGATTAAGCAATAGAATGAGTAAATAGAAGAAATTCACTTTTGCTGTGTGGTGTCCTCTTGAATATAAGATTTTCTATTAGCAGTCTTTCTTTTTTTCTTTGTATGTAATTCCTGGTTTGAGAAAAGCACGGGCACTGAAGAACTGAAATATATTTTTTAATGTTTCTTTTATCATTGGATATATATATATATTTTTTTTTTTCTTTTTGTGATTCTTTACTTCTCACCTGACACAAATTCCATATTTTTGGTCTGTAATGTGCTTTTAGTATTAATAGCTTTATATTTTTTGCTTCCGTGCAGAATGTCATGGAATTAATTGCAGTAGGTCCTACTTGGCTTGGCCTGTCTTACAGGGAGAAGGACAATGAATGGAAGTGGGAGGATGGCTCCTCTCCTTCTCCTGGGCTGTAAGTTTCCAATATATAATTTAGTTCTCTTCTCCTTTTGCAATGGCTTTTGCTGAAAGAGCTTGAGGAAATAGAGATGACTGGGGACAAAATTTAGACTTTTTTTTCCCTTGCCTTTGTTATTTCACATTATACCATCAGCAATATTATAAACCATAAAGTCACGTAAGTATTTTATAATTAATGTAAATATGCCTCTCTAATTATAGAATCTGATTAATTACAATTTTAGATAAGAAAAGTAATATGGACAAGAATATGATTATATCTAAATTTTAGGACTTCTATGTTGCTCTTTTGGGAAGAAGTATAGAATTGTCATTCCCTGGCCAAAGAATTTGAGTCCTTTTTATGGTTTTATTTTTTTTATTTTTCTTTATTTATTTTTTTTCCTTTTTATGGTTTTAAGCACATACTGGTCAATTGTGATCGAGAAACTTTACATTCGATAGCTATTGAAAAAACATGTATATAAATCCACTTCAACACTGTATGACAAATGTAATATTTCAAAGTTTTGATAATTTTGATAGCTATTTTTATTTTGTCCTTTTATGTTATAGTCTTCTGATATTTAGTGAGACCATTTTTCCTACAACCTATAATAACACTTTTGACCATTTTATCATATTTATTTACTTATTTTTTATTTTTGGAATGGTTTCTTATATATTAAGTGTCTAACCTCTCTTTCAGACATCTTACCAGATTTTCCCTTTAGTAATTTGCCCTTTAAGTTTATTTGCCTTTATTACATGAACGGGAAGTTAACATTTAGGTATACAGAGATTGTCTTTATTCGTTTGAAATTTGTTTTGACATATAATGGAGAAAGCTCCAGGTACACATGTACCTGGAGAAGCAGGTACATGTGTGTGTATGTATAATTATAATTATATCTATTCCTAATATGTATATTTCAGTTAGGTAACTAATTGTCAGAGTACTGTTTAAATGATTATTTTTTCATCACTGAATTTAATGTCACATTTTTGATACACTAAAATGTAATATTTAAATAATTTAACTCATTTAATATGTCATTTAAATATTTCATAGTAAATGTTTTAATGTGTAAAAAACCACGAATATTTTTCTGGTCTTGCTTGTGCTATTGTTTCAAATTATGAGTCTATGCTTATTTTCATGGTTGACAATTTTATTTATTACTTTTTTTAATGTTTAGTTTTAAGAGAGAGAGGGAGAAAGAGTGTGAGTGGGAGAGGGGCAGAGAGAGAAGGAGACAGAATCTGAAGCAGGCTCCAGGCTCTTACCTGTCAGCACAGAGCCTTACGCGGGGGTTCGAACTCAAGAACCATGAGATCATGACCTGAGCCCAGGTCAAGAGTTGGATTCTTAACCGACTTAGCCACCCAGGCGCCCCAGTTTTTATTACTTTTTCTGACTTTAAATATGAATTTTATTCTTCTTCCTTTGCCAAATGAAACATCATATTTGTTTTGAAATAACATTCTTTCATTTCGAACTATTCAGAAAGGCAAGATATATCTCTGGCATATTTTTATTCTTAGTGGCCAGATAATTTTGCCTTAAAAGCAATGTCATTTTCAGGTTAAAAATTATAAAAGATAAAGGGCTTTACTATTTCCATCTCAAAGTTGGCTTAAGTATGCTGTTTTTTTGTGAAGGCTTTGATATTATTATATCAGGTTTCTTATGTGATCATGATCTCTTTATATAGTTAAATCACAGTCCCCCAATCACAATAAATTTCATCAGTCTTCTGGAGAACGATGAATGTTGTAAACATTATGACAACAAAAACATGTTTTAATAATTTTAGTAACCAGACTCAGGCTGACATGGGATGGCTTTGGTTGATCATTATAGTTATTAGAATTTTGGGACTTGAATGTTTTCCTCTACTGCAAGCCTTGTACAATGTTTGGCACATAGAATACTCAATATGTATGTGATTCATGACTGGAAGAAAGTATAAAATATTTCGGCAATTTATTTTTCCTACACAGTTCAGAATTCTTTTTTTTTTCTAATTTCGTTGGCAATATGCATCTAATGTTTCAGTAGACAGACTTTACCTTTTTCCAGACAATATTAGGCAACCAATTTTGCTGTAGAGTTGATGAGAAGTAGTTTTATTGGCAATGACCTAAAATGCTCTAGAACTTTAGTTAGGGACTAAACTCAATCCGAGTATTAGATAGCATCTACTGTATGGCATTAAAGTCAGTGGTGATTTTGTAAATTGAAGTACACATTAGAGCAGAGAGAAGCATCCTGTAATATCACACACACAGATGCGCACACACGTATATATACGTATATATACATTCTAAATTTTATTACTAATATCGGCTATCTAATGTAATGTATTTACAAGCAAAATATCTCTCCTCCAACTGCAGCTGTTCATGCATAGCTGAATGGTTTCCATCATACCAATCTGTATTAAACCATAATTTTATATCCCAGGTCATATGTCCTTTCATGCTATTGCCATAGTTTTCCAGCCAGAGCGTTCTCTTTCTTTTTACACTGGTGTGTATTTTCCCACTTGTAAATAATTGTCACATCATGCCTATCTTATCTCTTCTGTAAATGCATGAGGTCTTTATGCAAGAGGGAGAGTGTCTTTACTGCCTTGAGTTCTTGACAGTGCTAAGTGTGGTGAATTTCACGTAGTAGTTCTTAAGTAATGCTATTTAGTATACACATAATGAGTATGGCTAGTGACCTGTGTTTTCTAAATTTCTCAGGGGTTTACCAGAGCCAAGTCTGGATTTCCAGGGAAAATGTGTGTATGTAAAGGCACACACTCTTGGTACTGATAACTGCACCATACCCTCTTCATGCCTGTGTGAGAAGGCTGTCCACTAAAAATCAGAAGAAGAAAGTTATGAGAAAAGCTATGAGGGTCACATCTCAATAACATTCCAGACGCAAGACCTGCTTGTCTTTGTTCTATTGTTTTTTTCATGTTATTTGTAACCCTTTTATCTCATAGCAGAAACTGTCAAATGACTTTATGAGAGACGAAGGCAAAGCCTAGAGTTTTAGCAGAAATATCAGAGGAGCAAATTCAGAACCTGTTTGATTTCATGAGAATTGTATAAATGAACTAATAAACATTATTTGTCATGACTACTTAGTCTTTTTGGCTGTCTTTTACATTTCAGAGTCTATTTATTCATTTATAGTTGTGACCCTATGGAAATAAACCTTTAGAACAAATACAGTGAGAAATATAAGTATTAAATAATTTAACACATAGCATACAAAGCATGTGAAAACTACGGAGGAGTATCAATAGTAACAAAAACATAAAATTAAAAAAAAATAAAATAAATTTCTGAAGTCACCTGTTTTCCAAAATTGCTTACAGAAGCTTTCCTAGCAGATTTAAATATCAATTTCATTATTATCTTCAATTCCTTGCTTCTCTTCTCGGTGAAAAGAGTATTTTCTGTTAAAGATTACTTTTGGGGGTGACCGGGTGACTCAGTCGGTTGTGTCTGACCCTTGATTTCAGTTCAGGGTCGTGGGATCGAGCCTGGCATTGGGCTCTGTGCTGAGGGTGGAGACTGCTTAAGATTTTCTCTTTTTCTTCCTCTGCCTCTTCCCTCACTCACTCTCTTTCTCTCTCTCTCAAATTAAAAATAATAATAATAATAAAAACATTTAAAGAAAGGAATTGCAGGACAAATTTGGGTAAGAGGAAAAGATCCACGTGGCCCTGAATATCTTAACACCTAAATAAAACCCAGTTATTTCAAATCCTGCTTGTGTACACGCTGTTCTCTCTCACTCTAAACAAATAAATAAATAAATAAATAAATAAATAAATAAATATTACTCTTGAGCAGACTTTGGATCAACTCCTGACTACTCCTCAAACTGTTTCAAGTTTTTATGCTATTAATTCTCCCATCACATACAGGTAACCACTTCCATTTAAAATGTGTTATCCAAATGTCTATCGACAGATGAATGGATAAAGAAGATGTGGTGTATATATACAATGGAGGATTACTCAGCAGTCAAAAAGAAGGAAATCTTGCCACTTGTAACAACGTGGACGGAACTAGAGTGTATTATGCTAAGTGAAATAAGTCAGTCAAAGAAAGACAAATATCATATGATATCACTCATATGTGGAATCTAAGATACAAACAAAGGAACATAAGGGAAAGGAAGCAAAAATAATATAAAAACAGGGACGGGGACAAAACATAAGTGACTCTTAAATACAGAGAACAAAGTGAGGATTGCTGGAGGGGTTGTGGGTGGGGGGATGGGCTAAATGGGCAAAGGGCATTAAGGAGGACACTTGTGGGGATGAACACTGGGTGTTACATGTAGGGGATGAATCACTGGATTCTACTCCTGAAATAATTACTGCACTAATGCTAACTAACTTGGATGTGAATTTTTAAAAAATGAAACAAACATATTACTTTCCAGGGGCACCTGCGGAGCTCTGTCGGTGAAGCATCCGACTCTTGATTTTGTCTCAGGTCATGATCTCATGGTTCTTGTGTTTGAGCCTTGCATTAGGTTCCGTGCTGACCCTGCGGTGCGGAACCTGCTTGGGAGTCCGTCCCGTTTCTCTCTGCTCCTCCCCTGCTCGCTTTCTATCTCTTTCTTTCAAAATGGACATGAACACACCTGTGCATCTCTTCCCATCTGCTTCTACTCATGTACCCTTTCAATTCACACCTTATATAGGTTTCTTTTCAAAGTGAATGTACTTGAGGGAAGAATTTATACGGATTATGTACTTTCTCACATTCCAATACTCACTCAGAACATTGTTGTTTGCCTTTTCTTTTTCTCCTCTTTATCAAGACTGCTTTTGTTTAAAACACTAATGGTCTATTTGTCATTCATTGACTTTGATTTTTTTTTTATATATGTGTCTGTGTTAGGCAGTCTGTTTAATCCATAAATCCAGTTTACTTCAATATTTATATGATTTGTCCTATGGACAGAATTTTTCTATGTTACTTATTTCCTGCTTCTTGACACTTTGCTGTCGTCGTCGTCATCATCATCATCATCATCTTTGGATATGGTATTATTTACTTTGAATGGTTCTGCTCTCTCTTGGTTTTCTTCCTACCACCCAGGTCCTGTAGTTTTAGTCTCCTTTATGGATCTCTGATTTCTCCCTCATCTTTTTCAGCTTTAAATTTTCATTAAAGAGCATTCATTCCATTTAGGACGACATTTGATTTATTGACATAGGTGTGTTTTGTCTCAGCTGGCGGCTATATCCTCACTGGTTCTCCAATTCCCTTAACGCCTGCCTCATCCATCTTTGCTTTTGTATAAAATAAGTGAAAACATCTGAGAATCGCTTATATGTTCATATGTAAATATATAGCTATTAGAACTCATTCATTCTTGTGATGGGTGTAAGATCTGTGTTTAAAGTCTTTTCTTTTGTCTTTGTCTTTGTTTTTGTTTTGTTTTGTTTGTGCGTGGATGTCCAGTTGGTTTAGCATTATGTGGTGGGAAGACTACCCCTTCTCCTTCGAATTGCCTTTTTTCTTTCTCAAAGATCAGTCAGCTGTACTTACGTGGACCTACTTCAGGGCTCTCTGTTTTGTCTGTTCCCTCACCCATACCACATTGTCTTGAGTATTAGCGTTTTCGTAAGTCTCGAAGTCAGAGAGTCTTGGTCCTCCACCTTTGTTCTCCTTCAGTAATGTGTTGGCTATTCTGAGTCTACCTTTTGGGGGTTTTGTCTGTTTGTTCCATTAGTTCTTGAGAGAACTGGGTTGAAATCTTGCAGTGTTTTGTATACATCAGTTAAAACTTGGGCGTGTTATGTTTTTCAAATCTTATATATATCCTTACTAAATACTTTTTTTTTTTTTTTTTAATCTGTGGTAAAGAAACCTTTTGCTGTAAGATAGATAGGAGGCCTGGGCTCAAATATCTTCTATTACACCCTTTATATATTTGCCATCTGGCACGTTTTTCATCTGTAAGTCTCAGTTTCCTGATTCATAAGATTGGGATGATAATAGCTGTAGCTCCTAGCTGTTTTAGGATTAAACAGGATCGTATGTTTGAAACATTTAGAAGAATGGCTAGATCAGAGTAAGTGTTCCATTGAAGTTAGCTATTGTTATAGACGAGAAGAAAAATCTTAAGCTTCTTGTAAACAGTGGAACATTATATGACTTAAAAGTAGTCTTATTATAAATAATGATGATACGATGTAGAAATGTTGGCGATTGAAATGCATACTATTCATACATATAAGATTAACTTCTTTACCTCCTTAATCTATTTTCCTTTTTATGTCTTTAACCCTTTCCTTTTTTTTTTGTAAATTTTTTTAAATGTTTTTAAATTATTTTTGAGAGAGAGAGAGAGTCAGAGCACAAGTGGGGGGAGGGGCAGAGAGAGAGGGAGACACAGAATCAGAAGCAGGCTTCAGGCTCTGAGCTGTCAGTACAGAGCCCCATGTGGAGCTCGAACTTATAAGCCGTGAGATGGTGACCTGAGCCAAAGTCGGACACTTAACTGACTGAGCCACCCAGGTGCCCCTCTTCCACACTGTTCTATTCCCTTCCGTTTTCATCCAATTCTCTACACACTTTCTTTACGATCTTCCTTTCTTTTTGCCTGTTCTACAAGTCAGGTTGACTTAATTGGTTACAAGTAACAGAAACAGAATTCAATCTGGCTTGGGAAAGTGGGAAAACTTTTGGAAATATACTTGGTTATTATGTATAATTGAAGAAGAGTTTGAATAAGCAAACCATAGGAAAGTTAGCGACAGAGCTTAGCCACAGGGAAAATGAGCTATGGAATTCAAGTCTACCAGCTGCCTGCACTGCTTTTCTCTGCCTTTCTCTTTCCATGTGGGTTTTATTCCTTTTTTTTTCATGAAGATAGATTCCTTCCATATAATTGCTAACACTGACAACAACTACTCTCAGGCTTTCATCTTATAGCTTTTATTATAGGAGAGGTTCTTATCTAATTTTTACTAGAAAATATAATAAATAAGGTCTAGCTAGGGAAGACTAAGCCCTCAAAATATGGCCACCTTAGCTATAAGTGTATATTTTGAAGGGTCGGAAGTTTTCAGATGGAAGGATCCATGCTGGCTGACAAGAGCATAGATGCCCCTACAATTATTCACTAATTTTTCCTGCACAAACAAAGGTGCCACAAATCAAATATATTCCTCAAGAAAGCATAGAGATTTTTTTTTAAAAACCTGAACAAAATAATACCAAGCACATATTTAAAATTCACTCTTTGTCAAGTGCTATTATAAGTGATTTGTATGTGTTAATCAAATCTATTCTCAAACCAACAAGGTAGATGGCAATATTTCATATATTTCATAGAAGAAAGAAGAGGCTAAGTGAAGCTTTGCAAAGTCGTGGAACTTGTCAGTGACAGAGCTGGAATTTGAACTCTGACACCTTAATGTCAGAGTCCATGCTCCCAAACACACTAGCATATGTATCTTCTCACATACCTGCTCATCTAATGGCAGGTAAGATTATACTAGAAGCCTTGGAAAATAGTGAATAAAAAAAATTAACGACTCCATATTCATACAAAATATTCTGGAATTCAGAAGACTATACCGGCATATATATATACATATACACACACGGTATATATATATACATATATATATATATACCCGAAATATATACCCGATATATATATATATATATACCCGATATATATACCCGATATATATATATATATACCCGATATATATACCCGATATATATACCCGATATATATACGATATATATATATATATCATATGTAAACTATACAGTTTTGTGGTAGAATTGCAGTGACAGCTAAAGAACATGTTCTTTGGGGAGTATATGTAAGGGACACAACTCAGATTTAAGGCCGAACCAGAAGAGCAATTCCAGTGGATTTCTAGAATTACATCTTGATATATAGCAGAAGTCTCAGATTGCTTTTTGAATATGTTGCAAATCAGTTTCCAAGAGAAATAGTGTCTGAGACAGAGATTATTGTATCAAAAATGCTCTTGGGACCAGATCTCTGTGGGAAAAAAGACAGCATTGGATCCAACGAGCTGCAGTGAACTCACAACCAACTTCAAGCTTTAGCCAACTTCATGGGAATCT